CACGTATAAATGAAATAGTAAGGAAATGAAGTTTGCAAACATAATCGTGGAAAAAAGGGTGGCAAAGTATTTAACAAATTAATAGTGACAGAACTATCAGTAACTGAAGCATGTTCTAGTGACGTACTAAAATAAGGATGTTAATATTTGGAGCTTGTCAGGGCATAGCAAATCTTAAACCAACAGTCCAGCCTCAAAAAGTAGCACCTACTCCTCGTTATAATGCATGTGGGATCCCTCTTCGAAGTATACGGAAGCAACGACACGTAAAGGCAAATCTCGTTACACACTCCCAAAAATACAAAGAATTAGGAACACATTTAAACAATTTACATTGACAAAAGATACTTTGTATCTTTCAATGAAACAAAAGTATGAAATTGCTAGGCTAATCGCCTACAACCTTAACGATGTTGACTGTATTCAGTCAAAATCTTGTTAATGTATTGATGTTAACTTAAGTAATAGTTTAGTGGTTAACAACAGCACAAAGGCTTGAAGTCGGTGTAATAATAGAAAGATAATTTAAACGAAAAATGTTGACAAAAGGAAAACCTAATAAGTTTAATAGTTGTACAACAGAATTCAGAATATACAGGGGTTTACTAGCAAAGAATTAGAGGTTGAGCTATTTTTAGAAAAATATATTCAATACCGATTATTAAAACTCCATTAGACAAGTACCTCCCTCATCGGGAGATTATTTGCCATAGTGGCCATGCTTGACAGGCGTTTTGGCAAGCGCAATTTTTTATTATTTCCTTATTAGGATCAGTCCGGTATCTACCAACCTCCTCTTTCATTTCACTCTGTTGAGTCTTATGATTATATACGGTGTGTCCCGAAACTCAACGTCAAGCGGGTACGGCGTGATAAGCCAGGTTGCACCAGTTCTAGCAAAAATAAAAATAAATTCCATGTTACTTGGTTAAGCGATAATAGGTATACTTTTGAAAATGTTGAAAATCAACATCCTAGATCAGATATATAGGTACTATGATAACAAATTTCTAAATTTTTCAGTGTTTTTTAAATGTAATCCTAAATAACTATGTTATTGATTGCAGTTACAAATCCAATAATTTATATTGTGAGTTTAGCACAAAAAAATAAAGTTTAATTAAGTCACGGTTAAAAACGAAACTTACTAACATATAATTTTGACGCCGTCTTTAAAAATAATGTACTAAACTACTAAATAATTAAAATATTGCTACTATAACTATACTATTTAATTATTTATATATATATATATATATATATATATATATATATATATATATATATATATATATATATATATAATTAATAGTTAATAATTTCAAAATGGTGCAACACTAGCTACTAATGATGCCCTATCGTCGTATTATGGCAAAAGTTAACAATAAGGAAACACTAGTACATTTATTTTTTCTTAAAACTAAATTAAATGTTCAAATTGTTTGCCTTCGGCACGAATACAGGCTCTGCATTGCTTCAGAAAAGATCTTTTTCACTAATCGTGCGAATCTCCTTGAGTTTATTTCCTCTGCTGTTTGAGCTATTTTGTGACGTAGTTCAGCTAAATTTTGTATTGGTTTCAAGTGCACCTTTTTTTTATGCAGCTCCACTAAAATAAGACAAGTGTATTTAGGTACGGAAAACGAGGAGGCCATAAAATTGTACCAAGGTGTCCAATCCACCTACCGCGATATTCTGTGTTTAGATAGTTCCATACTGGACGAGCATAATGCGCTGGGCAACCATCTTGTTGAAACCACATATCCCGGTAGATGTTGAGTGGTATGTCTTCTAATAAATTCGGAAAATGATTTTATAAAAAGTTGAATTCAGTTGTCGCCATTTAAGTTTTTAGGCAGCTCAAATGGTCCGATTTGAACTGTTTTTTGTCTAATTTGTCTGTTTAAAATTTCGAACCACTATTTCACTTTAAATTGGTATTGCGAGAGATCTTCACGCATTATATGTGGATTAACCATGTGTCAACGGTGTAGGTTATGTAAGTTCAAATAACCGTATTTTTAAAGGTCGTTTCATCTGTCTATAAAATCTTGTTAAGAAACTGCGGATTTTCACCATTTCTCGCTAACATTGTTCTACAAAAATTGATCTTGGGTCACGTCACGAGGTAGCAAATTTTGTACTCGTTGCACGTGGTACGGGTGATATTCGTATCGTTTTATAATTCGATGAACAATACTTTTCGGTATTCCAGTGTCTCTTTCAATTGCACACGTACTGAAGTGCTGGGTTCATTTTCATTTAAAACATTTTTTTATAGAATAAGCTCGACAAATGAGCACACAGGATGGTAAGGGGATGCTGTGGCCCCTAGACATCTACATTTATCCTCGATTAAGAATCAAAATACAGATGGGTTGTCACGTCTCTGGACTAAGATGGAATGTCTTGTTTCCAGTAAAAAAAGGGTCTCCGGATCTCTACACTCACCATACGAAACCCAGCAGTATTAAGCTTCTATTTTACACTGGTATTCTGTGAGAGCGTGGTCCTTCCCCGGACAAGCTGACCCATTCGTGCTACAACCATAATATATCTGCAGCGTGACTTTACCACGTATAAAAATCTACGTCACTTTTACCACGTATAAAAATCTACGTCATCTTGTTTCGACGAGGTCTCTCTCCTGCCGTACGAACACTTGGCATTCGTCCTTGCGAATACGACTGCACACACGACACACTTCATCAGTCGTCAGTGTAGAGAATCGAAGACACATTTTGCTGGAAACGAGGTATTCCATCTTAGTGCTCACTGGTGAAAAGGAACTGGATTTTGATTTATAGTTGATCACAGATGTAGATGTCTATATGTCACCGCAACCACGTACAATCAGGTGAACTGTGTGGTCTTTTGTCACTCTATCCTATAAAAAATGAGTTTCTTGTCTGTCTGTCTTATTTGAAATACATATTTTCTTGACTGTTAATTAAATTAATATAAACTTTTTTTAAGAAATACATTGTTTTATTTTAGTCTTCGTGAATAATTTACTAATCTATACTTATAATTAATTTTATCCCAGCGAAGCCAGTGCGGTCACTGGTTATAAATTATTTTAAAAATAATTTGCCAACTTTGGTACATAATTCTATTCAAATATTTTTCCATTATTAGAAAATTCCTAACTTGTTGAATAATATACCTAACGTTTTAATTAACCCAATAATAACGATATAATGTTATTAGCGGGTTTTCGTTATTTGTATTGTGCATGTTGCCGGTACGGGCTCGATGAGCCGCCATATCCCATTCTTTATCCGTACGGGCTATAAGTGCTTTCCGAGGTAAACGGGTAAAACACTGTCAACTTCCTGACTCCTGTCTCTTACTCATAACCAATCCTATCTTCTATAATTTTGGGACGACAACTGAAGAGTAGGAGTACCGAACGAGAAGTGTAAAAACCGGTGCCAGCTCCGGAGTACACGTTCTCAGCACAATCGGGGGGATTCCGTTAAGCCCGCTCAACTTGTAGATGTCCGGGGTGAAGTGTGCTCTGCTTGTGAACCGCACACCGAGAGTAGAGTTAGACGCAAAAATGGAGCCGAAAATGTCGGTTTTTTCTTTTGCGGTTTGAGCTAGCGAGTCATTATCTCTGTGCAGAGATGGATTCTGTTGGTTAGCCTTGGCAAGAGCCTAGAAGGCACAAGTTCAGGCATCTTAAGTAATCCATCCACTCCTTATCTCAAGTAAAAATTTCAGTATCTTTCCTCAAGACATGATAGAACTCTGTCTCTACATTCGTTTCATATACAAATTTCGTTGGAAAATTTTCCTTCACCATTCAGGCTGCACTTCTCTGAAACCCGTTGCCCGAAAACTTTAGAAAAATACCTAATAAGACTGCCTTTAAAAGATTGTTACTTAAACAACTTTGAATGACACCAGATATTAGTTAGTATGGTCCTAAGCACCTATCACACTTTATTTCTACACGTCCGGGTATAATTGAGAGAGAATGCCAAAAGGCATTAAGTTCCTCATTTATAATTCTTTTTATTAAGATGCAAAATAAGTTGTAAACAAATAAATAAATAAAAATAACGAACTTATTTTGGATACGTTACGAGGCGTCCATATAAATTACGAGTTCCACGCGGTAGAAGAGTAGTCAAGATGCGATACTAACGAATTATACGAACCTAACAGTAGTAGTAATTTTGAACTTGTCAATTGCATACTTCGTCTAATTAAATTAATATTTCTTTCACTGTTTATACGTGGTAGAGCCTTGCTGCAGCTATATTAGTATAGTTGTAGCACGAATGGGTCGGCTCGACCGGGGAAGCACCCCGCTCTCACAGAATACCAGCGTCAAATAGTAGCTTAATTCTGCTGTGTTTCGTCGTCGTTCGGTCTCCGGTTCTCTACACTTACCATAGTGTAGAGAACCGGAGACTCTTTTAACTGGAAACGAGGCATTCCATCTTAGTCCTAACAGGTGACAACGTATCTGTGTTTTGATTTGTAATCGAGGATAGATGTCTATGGACCGCAGCAACCACTTACCATCAGGTGGACTGTGTTCTAGTTTGTCACCCTATCCAATAAAAAAAGAAAAAAAAAATGTGATAGAAAATTATCATAAATGAAATTAATTATCTAGTCGTGGTAGCTCTTGTCGTAAATTATGCTGTCCTCGGGCAACCGGGGTTCTATCACCACCGGCACCAATGAAATAATTATTGTTTACTGGAATTTTAAGCGCTGATTTTCTTTTATAAAATGAAAGAATACATTGCTAGAAAATCTACATGTGTTGAAAAAAAAACTTTATCCAATCGGTTATAACAAAATTACTACTTAACAAAATTTAGCACATTACTTAAACCCATAAAAACTGTTTCTAAAGTTGTAGACAAATAATTAAACAAAATTCTAAAACAATGCATTAAACTTTGAACATCCTACAATAGTACCTAACACTTAATTTAAATAACTTGTGTTTAATTTTATTAAATATATTTAATATTTACCCATGAAAAACCGATGCATCCTATTCCTGCAGACAGCATATCACCGAGGATTGATGGATATGCGTTTCCAGATGGAAAATATGCATGGAAACGTGGATGCTGCCAATGTGTTACTCCTGGCATTATCTTATTCTCGACGTCGCACATAACATCATCCCAGGACTCTGGATACTCGGGCGCCTCTGATGGCAAAGCAGCGCGTAGGTACCCTGGCTCAACAGACGGTGTAACACGGCGTGAACGTATCGTCGTCATATAAGTGCAGATATAATCCACCATTTCTTTACCACGTACGCGAAACTCTTCTACATCCATTGTGGACTTTCGAAAAAGGGGCTATTAACTTTGGAAAAAAAAATACAATGTATGGATAATTTGTAAAAGGGGCAAGAGTTGTCCACGGTGTCAGCGGCGCGACGAACTCTGGCTGACTCGACCGCTAAGCAGCCAGCATCCGCTGGTCGAGATCTGGGCGGTAAAACGTGGAGAGGGCGCCACCGCGTGTGTTAGTCCGCGCTTAGATAAGGGGTTAAGTAAAGAAACGAGCATAGCGACTTAATATTTATGTGAAGGTCGATATTATTTAGTTTATTGTTAAAAAAATTTCAAGGAAGGCACTGCAAGGTGGTAGGTATACGAGTATAATATACTTAATGAAAATAAATGATGAGTTATTAAAATAATTTATGAAAATACAATAATTATCTACATTAGGTTTATTCTTTTATAAAATTTCTAGTTTGTCTATAATTACGATACACAGATTATGTAAATTCAACCTAAGTGTTTTATGTATAATATATATTATTAAACTTAAATGGGCGAATAATATAAATGCGTAAAATTTGCGTAAATGCGTAAAATATCCGTGCTAAAATTGAATATTAAACACTCTAATTAAGTATAATCTATATTATCATTATTAATTTAAACTATTTTATTAATATTCATAGTTTTCAACAAATTTATCAAGTAGCATTTAATAAAAGTAAAAACACAAGAACCATTTATAAATACTTATGTGTTAGCTTGTTAGTTGTAAGCGGGACTGGTGATCACGTGGTCCCGGTTTCAAGCTGAATTCTCAAGAGTCTTCAATGTTTCATTCCGGTACCTTAGAAAATACATAAAGGCGTTGCGGCCAATTCTGCGCTTGGTCGGATCGTATCGGATTGCCGTCACAATGAGATTGAAAAAATCCCACACACTTCTTGCACTATAATCCTATCCTGCGCAGAAACAGAAATAGAAACTTTTTTATTTAATATAGATTGTAAACAATATTTATTGAAAGTCACTTTATTTATTTGTCACTGGTTCGCAAAAACTTTTTTTTAAATAATAGCTTACAATCATGTACGTTACAAATAATAACACAAAACAAATTAGAAGGAGCTTGGTAACGATCACCCTTCCCAAGGTTTATTATCATTCATAAATTCCTTAATATTATGATAACCCTTTTAATACAAACTTAATTTAATAAAGTTTTTGAACTTTATGTATGTCAAATTTTTAATATTTTCTGGGATTTTATAGTAAAAGCGTATACACCCCAAGAGTGAATTAGATACTGACTCGGTGGAGTCGAGTAACTGGTATTACTAGCTTGTGTCTGTTCCTAGAGTGAATGTCCTGATACCCAGAATGAATATCACTTATTTTTGCAAAACTATTTTTATTTGTGTGTACGTACATTACATTTTCATAAATGTATTGAGTGGCCAGAGTTAATATATTAATTTCCTTAAAATTTTGTCTGAGCGACCCTTTTGGTTTTAAATCATATATTGCTCTAACTCTATTAATTTGTAAAGAAAAGGTTTTTTGACGTTTGAAAGGTACTATATTTATAATATGGCTTTAAAGTCTTAGTCCGCGCCCGCGTCCGCTAGTCAGTCAGGCACCATGAGTCACTTTTGCCCGCCCCCAACGCCACTTCATTCAGTCAGAGTCAGCTGAACGTTTTTCTCGTTACATCAAAATGAGAACTTTTATTTTTCAATTTTCGAACTGAATTATTCATAAAAATAATATTCATTATAAACTATAACATATTATTATAGTATCGAATGTACTGATATTACTGTGTAGGGGCGGTGTCAGAATATCCACTATCCGACAGAGGGATACAGATCAGGAGATGGGCAGCAGCATCTTCTTTATAATCACTAAAGATAAAAAACTTTGTTGGTCAACCCGCTTGACAAGCATGACAACTATCCCCTATGAGGAAATCTATGGGGGGGGGGGGCTATTTTCAGCAGTGGACTTTAACTGGTTGTAACAGTAACGGTAACCCGAAGACCACCTTAGTAAAATCATTTGAAGACGGTTTAGATATTAATAAAAGATAAATCAGGCATTACTTTGCGGAAATCCATTATAATAAAGATATTAATAGTTACTTTGCAACCATATTCAATTTAGCGGATGGTTGCAAACTATTAATATCTTTATTAAAAAGATAAATTATTGATTTTTTCGAATACATGGACACATTACCTAAAAGTATGAGAGAGTGAGAGTAACAGATTATTTTATTGGTGTTATCATACTCAAGGACTGTCAGCTGACAAATGACTTAAACTAATAAATTGACTGTTAAAGTTAATGTCCCATTTCTGGACACAGGCCTTCTCTCATTTCTGAGAGGGTTTTTGGGGTAAGGATTAATATGTCCGCCGCGCTGCCCCAATACGTGTTGGCGAACTTCAAATGCCATCGAAATTATTTTTTTCGTATTTCTTAGATATGCAGGTTTTTTCACGATGTTTTAATTCGCTGCAAAGTACGTGGTAAATTAGCACTTAAATTGTAATTGACAATTTCAATGGTGCCGACGGGGATCGAACCGATCGAGTTACTAGCGTACTGTGAATTTCATAGCGAGCGCTTATCCCCGGAGCTAGCACGGCTCACTTTACACAAATTGAATATTCTTATATACAATTTGACTTCTCATCGTAGTGACTTACTAAAATTTTTTGACATAAATAAATTTATTTTTAATTATATTCTGACAAGAGATATAATGTTTCTACCAAAAAAACTTCTTAGAATGTTATGGCTATTACTAGCGTATATTAACATTGCTAAATGTTTGGCAAATAATGTTTTAGACATAAAAGATGAATTTAACATATCAAAAAATTGTCAGCAGACTGTATTAAGCTAACGACGACGACAATTGCAAAGCCCAACAAATATATTATGTATATATTATACATCAAAATATCAATATAATACAAACAAAGATTTAGAATTAAATTTATTTTTGAATAGATCTTATATAACTATAATATGTGAAAACTGGCAGCGATCACCGATGGTGACAGACACACTGAACCTAAATGTTTAGTTGGAGAGGTCACGTCTAATGAAGTCAACACTCCGTCCTCCTCATGCTGTAATCCAAAGTCCCGAAAATTTTCTCGTCTTTGACTTCGAAATTTTGTCGAGCTCGAGTTAGAAAACCGTTTTCAGTGTCTAGAAGACTGCAATGACGATATGCAGGACAAGATCGTGGAACTCTTTATGCGGTCGGAGCAAAGTTCTGCAAGATCAGTCGCAAAAGAACAAAAACTCTTCGATCAATATGCTTTATTTCCTGCAGACATTATAAGAAAATAGACCGAATGTCATGCAGAACTATTAACCTGCCAATAAAATAAAATAAAATACCATTCTGCATTATTATTATAGATCTCAAATATCAAATGAACCCGACACTTTTTATAACCGATTAAATAACACAATTAAAAGTGACTTATTTTTATTTCCCGATGTTTCGGGTACTTTATAGCACCCATGTTCAGGGGAGGAGGGGTATAAATAGTTTTGTTCAACGTGTAGTGTTCGCGTAAATATAAGAAATCAATAAAAAATAAAAGCAAAAAATAAAAGTTTGTGAAAGCATTTAAAGCTAAAAATTTCGTCAAAAAATATAGCTTTAAATTGAATGCATGGGCTACAATAAGGACACAATATAAAAGCAGAAATAGATTATAGGTTGTACGTGGTAGAGCCATGCTGCAGTTATATTAGTAGTATAGTTGTTGCTTGTAGCACGAATGGGTCGACTCGACCGGGGATAGACCACGCTCTCACAGAATACCAGCGTGAAATGGTAGCTTGATGCTGCTGTGTTTCGTATGGTAAGTGTAGAGAACCGGCGACCCTCTTTACTGGAAATGAGGCACTCCATCTTAGTCCTCACGGGTGACAACGCATCTGCATTTTGATTCGTAATCGAAGATAAATGTAGATATCCATGGGCCACAGCAACCACTTACCATCAGGTGGACTATGTGTTCGTTTGTCACTCTATCCTAAAAAAAAGTAAAAAAATACAGACTTCTTGACGTAAAGGCAAATAAAAAATGTGACAGTTTCAAAATCTACGTAAAAAACTACTTAAAAATCTTACCATAAGTAAAATAATTAAAAATTCAAATAACCCAATAAATAAGAAAACCGGTAAAACGAAACCAATAGAAAAGTTGTTTGAAGACTGATGACCGCTTAATTAAAATTAATTAAACGGTCATCAGTCTTCAAACACTTTGATGTTGCAAACGCATTAAGTTATTTCTTTGCTTATATTCCCAGTGCTAACTGCCAACAGAATTGCTATAAAATCATCTTGTTCAGATGTTATACAAGTACTGCAAGCCTATGCGGCAAAAAGTACACAAACGTTTAGTTTCATTCCGATAGATAACAAAATTATAATATTTTTTAATCTTTAAAAATAGAGAAAACTGAGGGCTAAATAGTTTGGAGAACCGACAACCGATGGGGAAGTAAGGTTCTCGCGCGGCAGCCTCGTATCCGTAGGTAGGTAGTGAATTGTAAGGCTGCCCCTACTAGATGGAGTAACGACCTGGTAAGACATACGGAAAATCGATGAATGCAGATGGCTCAGGACCATGCTTTTTTATTCCTTGGAGAAGGCCTATATTCAGCAGTGGAATTCGGAAGGGCTGTAATGATGATGATCATGATTATGAACAGTTACATATGATATGAATATAATTTTTTATAGAATAAGGATTACAAAGGAGAACACAGTCCACCTGATGGTAAGTTGATGCTGAGGCCCGTAGATATTTCTACCAATCTTCAATTAGTAATCAAAATGCAGAGATGCGTTATCCCTCTGAGGACTAAGATGGAATCAATCGTTTCCAGTAAAATGAGTCTCCGGTGTCCGACTCCTCTCCAGTCAGTCAGTCAGCGTGGACTTTCATGGGTTGAGTCGAATCATTCGTGATACAACCATAATATAATGAATGTTTGCATATGAAATGTTT